CATAGGAGAAGTTGCAGTGGAGGAACCTGTCTGTGCTGGCAGATGTGATGCCTCTGGGACTGGTGAAACCTGATCTGTGTCTCAACACTGCTCTGTCATCTGAATGCCTCCTTGGAGAGGATACAATCCTGCACTGGTGTCAGGTCCTGTAGATGTCTCAGATCTGCTGGGGAGCTTGGAGCAGGTGGCACCTGCAGGTCTTTGCATCTGAGACGTCCTGAGCTTCAGAAGGAGCCTCCAGGTGAAGAGTGCTGTGGATCTGAGCTGTGCTTTGGCACGGAGGGGCCTGTTGGATTCGCCCTGTGGACTTGGGAAGAGTTCCTGAACATCACAGAAATGGTCCCTCTTGAGCAGTGCCCTGCAGTTCTGAATGTCCCTGACTGCTGGGCTCCTGCAGAGCTGCTGATGCTCAGGAGAGGAGCCCTGCACAGCCTGGGGTTCCTTACACACTGCAGGGACTCTGCCACAGAACACAGCAGACCTTGCAGAGGGAGGTGTCAGGCTGAGACTGTGTTGGGGGAAGTGTTTTCAGGTGATTTGCCAGCTATCAGTGGGATAGTCAAGCAACTGAGATATCAGCACCCAGTACTGGGGACCTGAACCCAACATGGAGTGGGAAGTCTTGGAGAAGAATAAGAAAATCTGGAGTTCAGGAAAACCACCTGTAATCAATGAACTGAGAGAAGAACTCTGGTTTCAGGCTTCCTGTCATGGCAGATGCTATGGGGAAGGTGTAGAGGATGGATGGGACCAGAGCAGCATTTGTGCCAAGGAATGCAAGACCATAAAAGATTTTCTGTGTTTGAGTAATAAAGGCAGAGTTAGTTTGTTATGGTTCTCAGCCAGGTTTGTAAAATACTCAGACCCCACACCTATGTGCTGAATTGCTTGCAAAGTTGGTTTAGTTCCTTACCAGATAACTACTAAAGGGTGGGAAGGGAAAGGGCAGGCTGTGATGATGGTTTGGGGTTTTATTGCAGTTAAATGATCATTCAAGCAGCAATTTTATATTGAGAAAATGGTATTTTAAAAGAAAGCAGGACGTATTTGTATAATGTTGACTTCATTTCCACTCATTTATACACCTTCATTTTAGACTGTGTATCCCTCTCTAACATTATAGGAAAACACAGAAGGGAAGAATTTCCTGCCATGTTCTCTTCCAGGATATCCCAAGTGCTGGCAGACTGAATCAGGTGTATTTGTCTTTCTGGAGACACATTTGCCTCCAAAACCTGGAAGCTGCCCTTCAGTGCAGGGGCATCGCTCTCTGAGCTGTTATAGCTGTGAAACAGCCTGGGTTGCTGTTTGGTTCTCCTCATGTCTTGGCCATGAATGGGGCCCAGTTCCACTTGCCAAACATTCCAGTTTGCTGGCCCATTTCTGCAGACATCACTTCTACTACTTGATTTGAATTTTTGATGATTATTTTCCATGCTGCATATTTGAATGTGCTCCTTAAAATCGCTTGGAAGAGCTTAACTTCCCTATACGCCAGCCTGTATTTTGAATTAATAATGTAAGAAGTGCTGGGAGAACCTTTGCCCTTTCATGACTCAGTTTTACTTACATCTTCAAAAGTTTGGATGATTTAAGTGCATTTATGCTGTCTCTGCATCTTTAATGGCATTTGTCAACACCAACCTGTAATTGTGTAGAAGTTACATGGGGTTTTTTTATGATTTAAAACTGATGTGTTAATCTGTGTCTTCATCACACGCATGGTCTAATGGTCACCATCTTCCCATAAAGTCATTTTTGGGGACAAAAGCCCTGCCTCTGAAAAGCTCAGGGCACTACTGATGTCTTTGGCTACCTGAAACTTAAAGATTTCCCAGGTTCTGCAATGACCTTGTCACTGGTGATGCTCTTGATCTCTTCCAGCACCTCATTTTTGAAGCTTTGGAGCTTTTACTTCACATCTTAAATTGGATGCAGACTGTTGGAAAGCAAACCCTTTTGGTAGAGCAAAGTTTACCTGGAATTTATTGAAGTAATTTCATAATAAATGCTGGCCATGGAGTTTGCAGGTTGTTCTGTAATGCAGTTTTATATTTATGTTGTCAAAATTGTCCCTTTCTCCTTAAACACAAATGTGAAAGCATCCAGTGAATATTACTTTTAAAAAACAGGATTGCTCTTAAGTTAGTGTTCTTCTTCAGAGCAGTCTGGCGTTAAAAAAGCTTAAAGAAATAAGCTTTCAATGTATTGTTTTCATTGGAAATGTTCAATTGCTGCTTTGGAAATCTTAATGTATATTTTTCAGATATCCTGAATTTATGTCTTTGTCTTGTGAGGAACTTGAGAGAAATGAATACAGACAAATTATTTCATAAAACATGTGAAATGGCTGTGGATTGACAGTTAAATCTGGAATAGTGAATACAGTCAATTTTCCCCTTTGTTCTGTCAGCAGTCACTTGTACTCTAAATGTCTATTTAATTTTTTAAGTAGATTAACGGGAAATGTTTGCATTATTTGATTATTGAATTTACTTTCCCAAATAATGGATCTTTTCCTCAAATATTTATGTGATCTTGAAAATGTTTTTCCAGAAGGGAAAAATGCTAAAAATGAATGGGGAACATATTTTGAGTTATTTGTAGTACGTGTACATAATGCCTCGCCTGAAATCACTGTACACTTGCCTTTTGGTGGGGAAAAAAAGCAGTTTGTCATCTGTACTGCCTTCCAAAATTAGATTCAGATAATCCCACCTTTTGGAGTAAATGAGCAGCAGATTGGTCTTAAAAATGAAATTCAAGTAAGCTCTTGGTAAGTGATATAAAAAATAAATAAGCTAATATGTGAGCAACAGAGAGCATCTCAGTGATAGATGATAACACAGATTACCTTTGTTGTGTTCATAATTAGGCTGGGCAGGGAAAGGAGAGGGAGAAGGAGGCATTAGGAAATGCTTTTGTTTAGTCCTGTGTGGTTGGGTTGGGTTTGGTTTTTGGTGGGGTTTTTTTTTTTATATTATTTTGTCTTTTTTTTTTTTTTTTCCCCTGTGCTCCGGTTGCCCGGTTAGGGAATTGTTTGG